GGTGAAGATTGCGGCTGTTTGATAAATATGAATTTGTAGCTAAATTGTTAGAAGTGACAAACAGCATTTCCTGTTGTTTACATTCTTGTTTATGCCTCGCTACAACATACTGTTAACGCTAGAAACTGTGCATGTAATTAATCAATTTTGACAAAATAAATACAGGTTGTGGCTCACAGTCCACAGCTTTGTCAGTTGGAGGAGTTTTAACCAAATCCTGCACTGAACTGGGAGAGATTCTGGAAGTTCTCCTTTGTCAAATGCTAACTATATATTTTTACAATTCTCTGAAACATAATTAAAATTAAACTGTAAGCATTTCCCTCTTGTTGTCATGTCCTTTGAAAGCCAAAAAAATACTGAAACAGAAGAAGCTCTGTGGAAATAGCAGCATTTGGATGGCATTTTAGCTTTTAATGGTATAACATTACAGCGCCTCTGGCCTTGTGATCTCACTAGCCTGGATGTATTTTTTTGCAGTCCCCAAACTTTGTTTGCTCTAGCGTTTGCTGAGCTAAGTCTGTAAAAGTCAATGTCTCTCTTTGAATTGAACTATGAGCATATTACATTCAGAGATGTTGTTCATGTTTACACATTAACATTACAAATCAACTAAAGTTTAAATTATGATATTATAGTGGACCACCCCTTTAAAGCTTTTTTGGCATAAAAATACCATCATTAAGACTATCTTGTTTTTTGGAGATTTGGGTCATTTGGTAAATGATGAGAATCCTTTTGAGTCTTTGGCAGTGTAAACAAAAAATATTTCAAAATGCATAAAACAGCATTAGACCTCCACTTTGATCTCCATTAGTGGGTGTTATTTCAATTAGCACAGCTCTTCATGTTAAACATTGTTTATGTGCACTAGATACAAATTTGTGTTAATCACACACGCTTGATGGATGAGAGGATTTGGAAGCTCGAGTGATCACACTTCCAAATGACTCTGATCACCACAAACTCATTTGCTCGATATGAGCGTCATCTTCACCCGATGACTAATTTAATAGAGTCAAGCTAATTTACAGGCCCCAGAATGCCACAGACACTTAGCGCCAGTGAGATATAGCACATATTAAATTAGAGCCCTGCCAACCAGCCAGCCGGCTCTGTAGACGCAGTATAGCTCAAACACTGACTGGTTGACGCTGCACTTGCCTACGGCCTAAATAATTCACACTTGCAGGTGCCCGGCAAGATGACTTCAAATGACAAGAAAGGAGAAGCGGGGAAAAAAACTTTGTTGTTCAGGCACTATGAACATCTGCCTAAAGATGTTTCTCTTGTATTTGAGCTTTCCAGCTTCACTGACTGTGCTCTCTGAAGAACTGTTCTCAAGATATGACGGGTTTACAGTATGTCACTGCTCCAACTGCATTTCCAATTTCAGGATAATACAATACTGATCCTTTCGACTCTTTTGACCAGTGCAGGAACTATGAAGGTATTAAGCTGAAGCTGTCTATAAGTGTAGGTACAAGGCAGAGATCTAGTCTAAAGGAGGAGTACAGGTGCACTGGAAACAATAACAACAGCAACTGTCAATGGAATAGGAGTAGACACAAAGTGGCCCCAAAATGGATTTGGACACTTGAGTTGCACTTAAAAATGTCTGGGTGGCGTTGCATTAGATGCAACATACTAGGGTTGAGTGATGTCGACCAATTTGGCATCGTATGGTGTTTAATGTGAAACATCGCGATGGACGGTGGCATCGTAGGTGGTGGTGAAATAATCATTTATGAATAATTTATTCATTTGTATAATTTGTAGCCTACCGTTTTAACTACCTGATCCGCATGGTCTTTGTTTTACCCATAACCAAATAATAAAATAATAATTATAAGTTACACTCAAATTACCACCTAAATCAATTTTTCCGCAGGACTCTGGCATGAATAGGCAGGTTAATCTGTGTCATTAATGGCGACGATAAACAAAGGTGCACAACCAATAGGAACCAACCAACAGTATCTGAGGTTTTTGCTAAAATTGCTAAGTACAAGTGGAAAGCGAAAGATTGAAGCAGTGTACTGATACTGTGACACGTTACCTGATAGATTCAAAAGACTGAGGAGCCATTAGATAGAGACCAAATTAATTCAATATCATGTTTAAAAACCATAGAGTGTGTATGGATGTTTCCCAGAGATGGGTTGCGGTTGGCATTCTCTGCGTAAAACATGTGCTTGTTAAGTTGGCGGTTCATTCTGCTGTGGCGACCCCAGATTGATAAAAGGGACTAAGCTGAAAAGAAAATAAATGAATGAATGAAAACCATAGTGAGACGCGATCCAACGGTACATCCTTGATAAACTGTCCAACGTGCACTGCTCTCTAGCTGACTGCCCACTGACTGCTGTAACTCAGACGCGCAAATACGCTGCAGCGCATGACAGTGTGTGTATGTGTGTGTGTGTGGACACGTGATGTATGTCTATAGTATAGTCAGCAGTATAGTGTGGAAGGAGGGCTTTTCAGAAATGCTAGATGAAACGGCAGTGTGGACGTGGATCGTTTTCGTTCTAAAATACCATTTTAAAACTAAGGCGTATTAGTGTAAACTGGGCCGCGTGTATTTTTCACCAGTGGGTTGCTGCTGCGACGGGGCGGGGAGGATACCGGCTCAACATCGTTATGTATATTGGCCATCAGCGATGGACAATGGCCTCATCTATCGACCCAACCCTACAACATACTAAATAAAGTAAAACCAAAAAAGTAGCTAACTTAATTTAAATCAGGGCTGTTTATTTTAGTTTTAACCCACTGATGAATTTTAAAAGAAGCACAAAGTTCTGCTCACTGTGCAAGCTGAGGAAGTTTCAATAATACACTGTAAAAAATGCTGGGTTCCACACAATCAATTTGTGTTGGGGCAACATTGAGGTATTAAGTGACTTATTAGTTTTAACAAATTCAAGTGAATTAAGCCTAAAACAATTAAGTTGTCCTCAAAAAACTCTAGAATTGTGATGTTTTAATTCACTTTAAATAAATAGTTTTAAAAAGCAGCAAAATAATGTTTGAGTGTGTTTAACAACAATATATCTACAGTTGTTTCATTTGAAGCCAATGTTATAATTAAAGACTCTATGTGACTCTCAGATACCTCACTAAATGCAGTGATGTCTAATTTTACTGTAGTTTTCAAATAGCTGTGCAAATAGTATCTAGTGCTGTCTTGAGGATTTTCAGGAGGTGTCACCAAAATCTGACTTTTTTTGCATTGGAAAATATTGACAGAGTAAACTGTCATAATGAAAACATGACTAAGCCATTTGACTACTTGTTCATAAACAATGGTGTCAGGACTTTTCATCTTGATGACATTGACAGGTTCATTGACATGAATACTTGCTTTTGAGGAATGAGATCTCCATTTTGAGCAAGTGACGTGCTTTTGCAGGTTACCAACTAGGTTTTGCAATTTGTACTAATTGTTTTGGGAAATGCATTAACTGTTTTGCTAATGTAAATAGTGTTGTGAGAAATGCACCAAAGCCACTGAGAAAAACTGTAGTCTAGTGAAACCTTTAAATGTCACTTTAAGCTGTAAAAATGGATGAAAGATCATCATCTCCAGCTGAACCTCGCAAAAACGGAAATGCTTGTAGTTTCTGCCAACTCGACTCTACACCATAACTTTTCAATCCAGATGGATGGGGTAACCATTACTGCATCCAAAATGGTGAAAAGCCTTGGAGTAACGATTGATGACCAACTAAACTTCTCTGACCACATTTCTAGAACTGCTCAATCGTGCAGATTCGCACTCTATAACATCAGAAAGATCCGACCCTTCTTATCTGAACATGCAGCTCAACTCCTTGTTCAAGCTCTTGTTCTCTCCAAACTGGATTACTGCAACTCTCTACTAGCTGGGCTTCCAGCTAACTCTATCAAGCCTCTTCAACTGCTCCAGAACGCAGCAGCACGAGTGGTCTTCAATGAACCTAAACGAGCACATGTCACTCCACTGCTAGTCCGTTTGCACTGGCTGCCAGTTGCTGCTCGCATCAAATTCAAAGCTCTGATGTTTGCCTACAAAGTGACTTCTGGCCTTGCTCCTTCTTATCTGCTCTCACTTCTGCAGATCTATGTGCCCTCCAGAAACTTGCGTTCTGTGAATGAACGTCGCCTCGTGGTTCCATCCCAAAGAGGGAAGAAATCACGCTCTCGCTCAATCTGCCCAGTTGGTGGAATGAACTCCCTAACTGCATCAGAACAGCAGAGTCACTCGCTACTTTCAAGAAATGCCTAAAAACTCAACTATTTACTCTCCACTACACTTCCTAATCTGCAATTGCCTCTCTGAATATCACACTAACTGTACAAAAAAAAAAAAAATACTAATACTACTAATACTTCCCTTCTTAGACTTTACTGACCTGAAACTTGCCTATAGCACTTATTCATTGTTGCTCTTAGTTGTGAAAATTGCTTCCTTGTCCTCATTTGTAAGTCGCTTTGGATAAAAGTGTCTGCTAAATGACTAAATGTAAATGTAAATGTAAAAAGTGTCTTAAAAATATCTAGTAAAATATTATGTACTGTCATCATGGCAAAGATAAAAGAAATCAGTTATTAGAAATTAGTTTTTAAAACTATTATGTTTAGAAATGTGATGAAAAAAATCTTCTCTCCGTTAAACAGAAATTGAGGAAAAAGATAAACAGGGGGCTAATAATTCTGACTTCAAATGTATATTGACATCTTATTTCCATAACAACTATTTGAAAATAATAAATTATATAAAACTCTTTACTTGCATTTATTATGCTCTATCTATATAATATTTTAAATAACTTTCTAAAAACATTTGATGCAAAGACCAAAATCTTATGTCATATTTCTCCAGAATCCAAATGTGAAAGAAGTGTCCAAGTATTTTTCAGGCATCACAGTAACAATCTTATCAAGTATTGCCTTATTCTCGAGTTTTATGTCAGGTGAAAATGTGAGAACATCTTCCAAAACGCCAGTAGACTTACTAAAACCACTGTCCTCCTCTTTAGTGCCGTCGATGGTTCCATCTGCTTGGAGCTGCAAATGAAAGCCCTGTCGACTGTACAGCTTCGTTACGATCCCCTTCAGCTGGGGCTCTGCAAGGAGACAGAAGGTAGAGAGAGAGAGAGAGAGAGAGAGAGAAATAGACAGGGTTAAATAGGCATCGCCACAGTGACAGTGTTAAGGGCTGTAAAGCTCCTGGCTTAGCAAGAGCTTTCCATGGTCTGCAGATTTGAGCCTGCATTACAAATAATAGATCAGACCACACTGACAGAGGAAAAGGAAGAAGAAAAAACTCTACATGTTGGAAAAGCCACCAGAGCCACCACACAGAAAATTAGTTAGAGCTGCGATTTGAAGTATGTAGATGAACAGATCTGTATGACCCTTACACGGATCTGATTGGCTCTACTGGAAATAACCAAAACACTGTACAAAATACCAGATTGCATCAACATATCTGTGGTTAATAAGGCTTAGTGAGCTGGTGGATCATGCTGTTAACACTGATTAACTTTCCTCTATCATAGAAGATTATAAAAGTGTGATTATTAGGTCACATTTTATAATAAAAAATGTAACATGCCCTCAATTTCAGTCATGAAAACATAAAGAGAGTTTTAAGCCTATCAGATGCTAATTCAGAACAAACCAAAATAATCTGGTACAGTAGAGATTACATTCACTGTACAGAGACTTCAATAAACGTTTCAAACATGGATATTAGGTTTGCATAAAGAAGCACATTTATGAGCGTGAAGAAGGGCTGTTAAGAATGAGACTGGTTAATGAAGGCAGAACCACTGCTGTAAACAACTGCCACTCTACGCGCAAACTTCCACACTTCTGCTAAGGTGTCACATAAGGGTTATGTAAGACGCTGTCTGGGGAGGGAGGCAAAGTAATTGGCACTATGACAAGCTTGTAAACATTTGTGCTGCATGCGTATGTGTGATAGATAGATAGATAGATAGATAGATAGATAGATAGATAGATAGATAGATAGATAGATAGATAGATAGATAGATAGATAGATAGATAGATAGATAGATAGATAGATAGATAGATAGATAGATGTAATTTAAAACTATGGAAAATATTTCTATAGACTTCTGAGCAGAATATGATCGGTTTTATGGAAGGAGTTATAAACTATCCAGAGAAAGTATGTCCACTCTCAGATCTTTAAAACTTAAATTAATGCAATATGGTGTTTAATAATCATTTAGTCACAATCAGTAAAGAAATTATTGTTAAAATACCCATTCAAAAGATAGAAAAATACGAATCTGCTGCACAATTTGTCTATATGTCCCACTTTGAATCATCAGGGACTTGTCTTGTTTGCTACAGTAGTTAGGTGCAGTCCAATAATGTGTCAAGCCATAACCTGCTTAGTTTGCTTTCTATTGTCCCTCTGTCTCTGAAGGGATTTAACACACTAAAGAGCTGACACTGAATTACTATCAACAGAATATCTGTGAAATGGCAAAGTTTTACAGTGTTTTTTTTTCTGGGCCAAAATGTATGTAAAGTTCTCATAGTTTGAATGATATCTCACAGTGAGGTGTGAAAGCACGCACTGTAAAAAATGAAGGGTTTCACTAGGCATGAGACAATAACCGTTTTTAAGGTTTGGAAGAATCAAGGTTTTAAACGGCCATAATTTTCAGCTATACCGTTTCTACAGTATATGTGAGATTTCTAAAAAAAAGTTTTTTTTTATTTTTTATGACAGTATCTCCAGCAGAAAAAATATCCAAAGATGCCATTTTAAATCACAAAGAAATTTGTGTTTTTGAAACTAATAAAGACAGCAGAAGTCAATTATTCATGTTTACTGTCCTAAAATTTTTTAAAGGTTTCTCAAAATAAAATATATTGTGTTCCAATTGGGGGGGTGGGGGGGGGGGGGGGGTGGAAGCTTTAGTTTGAAAAGAACACATTTTAGAGCAGTATTCACTACAGTGAAACTGATATTTTATCCGCGGTTATCATACTGTCAGAATTTTATACCCGCCCATGTTGTCACATGACAAATTGATCAAGTTCACATTATAAAACAATAAAGTTTACCCCCCCCAATATATATACATATATATATATATATATATATATATATATATATATATATATATATATATATATATATATATATATAAAATAAAAATCAATAAGAATTGTGTTGTTTCAACTCATTTAAGTAATAGCTTGAACAAGCAGCAAAAGTCATTTTTGAGTGCAAGCTGACAGACTTCATAAGACTTCAGCAGTGAAATATTTTATACTGTTTTAAAAGTATAAACAGAAACACATTTCAGTGATGACATACAATCAACCCTTAAACACAAAAGTAACATCAGACCTGGTCGTCTCCTCCTGCGTTTTTTGGAGCCGAAAAGCTTGACTCTAGAGAAAACACTGAGTCGACTGGGTTTCTCGCATGTTCCTTTGGTTTTGTTCGGACTGCTCACGCAGCGGCAGGCGTTTGATTTCTCTCGCTCCCTCGCCTGCCTCTTCTGCCGAATAAGGGAGCTGGCGATCGCCGCAGCCATGGCCAGTTTGACGGTGCGACACCCAAAACTTTCAGAGGGCACAATCCGCTTGCCCACCTCCTCCACAACACGAGTTCGTTAGGGAAATCTAACTTGAAAGCTCACATCCAAGTCCTCATACACCAGTCACCGCCATCGTTCGTTAATGAAAATGACAGCTCGGAAGAAAAGAGTTGTAAACTAACATAAGCTTTAACGCAATTACGTAGGTGAATGTACGCGCATCTCTTCAACGTTCATTTTTTTCTTCAGAGATAAACTCCAGGAACGCCTAAACATTCAGTCGGCTGCAGCTACACCGCACCAGTCTCCAGATAATGACACTATCTGGCCATTTCAGCTGATAACGGAGATGATGTTCCTCCAGAGCCCGAACGCGCGCTTCGCAGCATCACACGAACAGTCGGTCACAGCACACAGAGCAGAGCAGAGCCATGTGAGAGAAACACCTGTTAGCGATTCTGTGCGTGTGGGTGTGTGTGTGAGAGCGAGTTTGTTTTCAGTCAGTCTTCTGAATCATTTTGTAATGTAGATCCTGTCAGTGACTGCAAGAGCGACAAGTAACTTAATTTGACAGCTCAACCATTGATTTCGGAAAAGGAAATCCACTCAACGTGAAAACAAACACAGTTGTTTAGATTATTTGTCGTCTCTGACTGCAAGTGCCGAATCCGACTCATTCCTGCGAATCGGTTCCTTCGAACGGTTCAGAACAACTGAAACGATTTATAGTGATTCTTTATTTCGTTATGTAAAACAAGCCTACTTTATGTCATTTCATTATTGCATTTTATGAATGTGGTGTTTAACGTGAATGCATATTAAAACATAATAAAATATACTTATAAAAATGTAGGCACATTATTTACCCACATTTTAGCAAAAGTGTAACCTAAACATATTTTCAGCCTTTTTATTGGTAGCCTATCACTTTTCTATCGTGCTATTGGAATAAAACAAGTCAAATCCTGACTCTAAATGCTTTTAAAGAGATAGATCACCCCAAAACGAATTAGCAGGCTGTCTGGTTACAATGTCTGGTCGATCAATGTGATCAATTAATCAAGTTACTTTCTTAATTCATAAGACCTCAATGGACTGTCAGAAGCAGTGGGTAGGCTATCTTTTTTTCTCTTTCCAGATACACACACACATACGCACACGCGCGCGCGCGCACACACACACACACACACACACACACACACACACACACACACACACACACACACACACACACACACACACACTTACACACACACACACACACTAACACACACACACACAAACACACACACACACATTTTTGACTCTTGAAGTGCCAGGAGCCATTGACTAGCTTTTAATGAAACACCAGGACCACCATTTCAGCTAAAACTCTTCTTTGATGCGCCACAGAATTAAAGAACTTCATCTTCATGGCCTAAGGGGGAGAAAATTAACTGCGCTTTTACATTTTGAGGTGAACTATCCCTTTAATATCAGCTCAGCCTACTCATCAGTTCGGTCCTTAATAAATCTGTAATAAACTTAATAATCGCATAGTAGCCTATATTAAAACATTTAATATTTTTGCATAATATTATACTTAATTATTATAATAATAATTAAAATATATATATAATAATTAATCAATTAAGTATGCCCCAGCACGCATTTTTGTTTTTATAAAATGTCTAATAGATGTCTAGATGTCTAGTCATTTGGGCTAAAACAAGGCTAAATTTGGGCTGTCAGTGAAAATCTAATAGACGTCGAAGAATAGGTCAAAACTAGCCTAGTCATAATCAGAACTGAATGACTACACATATAAAGTCTGTCTGATATGTCAATTGTACGACTAGTCTGGTTTTGGGCTATTAGATGTCTATTAGATTTTCACTGACAGGCCATGTTTTAGTCAAGCTGTCGACGTTTAGATGTCTATATCTATTAAACACAAAATTGTTTGATGGGTGCTAGGTATTAGTTTTGCATGATGTACTTTATATTAATATAACTAATTATTCCGGCTGCTCGTCTGACATCAGACGGTTCTCGTCTCAGCGGGTCAGTTGTTGACTTCAGAATCGTGGTGACTCATTCGACATCATTTGAACTGATTCATATCTGACTCGGATGATTCGGACAACGATAGTGAATGAACGTTTCCCACCAAAACAATGACAATGGTGTGAATCAGGGCGGTGGGCGGAGACTGCTATTAGACAACAAAACAACATTTTAACATGGTATAAAAGTATGTAAAATGGGTTTTAAATATTAGAGCATCATTCTAGAAATATGAAAGAGCGCGAGTGACCAAGAGAGCCGAATCTATCGTGCAGCCTCTCCCATCAGACCCGCGGAGACGCAGATACAAAAATGACAGCTGTAAGTGAATTGGAGCTTTCGAAGATTTATAAAACACTGAAGCAGGAGCACAGGCGAGCATAACGTGCCTGACAGATGTATGTTTCTTACCCAAAACATAAAAATCTCGTAGAAACAACGTTTCGAGTCTCAATGTCCTGATTGGAGGAGTGCTGGTTGCCATGGCAGTGAGTTTCTAGCATGTGTGGCAAAAGCACAACTGTCTTCTGGCCCACTCCTAATAACATGCAATAATATGCATATTCAAATTTGCACTGCATAATTTGTACATAACAGCTTTCTACGCGGCATCGTTACGTGACGCATGGAGGATTATTTATAATCTATAATGGATAATAAGTATGTTTTTATTATTCATGTTTTATTTGATCTGATTACTGAACGATAATATATCGATATTGTATTGAGGAAAACATCTCATTAATTTTTTTAAGTCTCTTGCCAAATCTAACCAAAAAATGGCGTTAAATGATTGAATGAAGGATGACACTAAAAACAAAACATCATCAACTATATTTGAGATTTCAGCCCTTCGGACTCGACATACAGATTATTATTTGTTCAACAACAGCGCCATCTACTGTACTGCCGTGACACTGTGGGACGCATTAACAGCTCAATAAGACGTTAGGACAAAAGACAAACATCAGATCAGCTTAATGTTATGGATGATATTATATGGATAAATGATATATATTTATTCAACAATGTTAAGTTATTAAACTACAATTAAACAATTAAAAATAATAAAAGCCCAAACTATCTGAATTCCTCATCATTAATGTGTTTATTAGAACAGTTGAATGACCATAGGTCCTCAAATGTAATTCAGTCAACATTAAAAAAAACATTTAAAAAAATTAATTATGGTCAAATATTAATGACCATATTGCTAAAATAAAAAATATATAATTAATTGAATATTTACACACACACGCACACACACACACACACACACACACACACACACACACACACACACACACACACACACACACACACACACAAACTACAAAACTCTAAATAAAACAAAGTGACTCAAATATATCAAAATAAGGTTTAAAAACCAAGAATGAATTAGTCAAACAACAATTTATGTCATTACTTAACATCAGGACAGAGCTCAGGCTTATCTGCAGTTCAGCACCACGGACAGCACCACTGCATTACACAAGCTCACACCCCAGACAAAAGTTCAGCAAAACAAACAATAAAATCCACACCGTTCGTTCAAAAGGCAATTCTTAATGCGTATTATACACTCCTTAAAACCTAAAAGCAGCAAAAATGAAAACAATCCTTACCCGATGTTGATTTTCTAAGAGGAAATGTCATCTTTTAGAGTTAAACAGTGGAAAGTGGGAAGACGGTGCCGATTCTCTGAAAGCAGGAGGATGTTTTCAAAGTTTTAACCATACTAAAAGAAATCCTAATGGAACTGTGGAGAGGCCGTCAAGGCGGGGCCAGCTGCATTCAGAAATCATTAATGGACATTAGTGACTAGCCATTACGACTTCTAAAGCGGTCATTAAAGATTCATCGGGAAGCGCTGTTGATCCGGCAAACACAGGGCGTGTGTTCACTAAACTGCAGTGCTCTGGGTCAAAATTGCAGGGAGAAAAATCGAACATGGTACTTCCTACTAGAGCAGAGCTTTCGTTCCTCTCACATTACAAAGAAACGGCTGTAAAGTGATCCTTTAATGCGTGGCGTAAACCAGTTATACCAGACCTTCCATTCTCCACTCAGAAGCATCTGCAGATATACGGCAAACATTAGCTGGGCTTTTCACTTCTGTTGTTCTGAACACGCCAGACAGATTTAACTTTGAACCAAATCTTTATATGAAAGAGATTCAGCACAAGTCTGTTAATAAAACGACTGTATAACCTGCTGGGAGTCTAAGAAAACTTTCACGAAAACTCTTTGAAATACTAAAATAGAAAGATGCATTTTAATATCTCATCCTTTCTAATAATAGCTTTGTGAAATTCCTATTTTTGTGTGTGTGTGTGTGTGTGTGTGTAGGCTACTCGGATCAAACTAAATCAGCTGCTGATGGTTGAGAAACAGATCAATATAAATATGACAGATAATGAATATGTTCATGAGTGCAGTGGAAAAGATTACATCTCAGATGATTTTTCAATACATCACCCTTTACCAGGTCAATAATCAATGCATTGTAACCTTCAATCACAGCTTAATTTAAAGTTTCACTGAAAAAAGCTACACATTTGCACTTATATTCCCATAAAGCATGTATATTAGTACTTTTAAAGTACATCTGCACACAAAGTGTACATATAATTACATTACTGGTAAATGTAAGTATCTTTTAAAAGGATACAATGGCAGCTTCTGTATCTTTTATCGTTAAAACCCTTTGTAACCCTCCTGGCTGACTTTTGTGCTAATGATTTCATTCATTCATTTTCTCTTTCGGCTTAGTCCCTTTATTTATCAGGGGTTGCCACAGCGGAATGAACCGCCAACTTATCCAACATATGTTTAACACAGCGGAGGCCCTTCCAGCTGCAACCCAACACTAGGAAACATCCATACACTATTGCATTCACACACATACACTACGGGCAATTTAGCTTATTCAATTCACCTATACCGCATGTCTTTGGACTTGTGGGGGAAACTGGAGCACCTGGAGGAAGTCCACGAGGATAGGGGTCGGGGAGAACATGTAAATTCCTCACAAAAATGCCAGCTGACCCAGCCAGTGCTCAAATGAGCAAACTTCTTGCCTTGAGGCGATCATGCTACCCACTGCGTCACAGTGACGCCCCCTAATGTTATCATTAGAACAAAAAACTGAAAAGTTGCTTAGTGTGGAGTCAGGAATGTAATTCAGTCAAAAAAGTTAGTCAGTATATATTTTTCTTAGAGTTATTTGTTTAAAGCGTCATTTGTACGTTTTTTGTTTTTTTTTTGCAATATGGATACCATTTTAACAGAGCATATAATCACAAAAGTCCTGCATATCTATAGATGACAATAGAGAAGCACTGACTGGTAAATCAATGCCTCAAGTTCAGTTCATTAATGGTTTGTCCACTGGATGGCGCAAGCGAATCATTTGCGCGGTTCATAATTTACAACAGAACTGAATCTACTTGTCTGACACGTTATTTAAATGGAAATAAAACAACAGATTATTAATTAAATGAATTCACCTGTCATACCAAAATATGCAAATGTAAAACTTTTTGTAAAACTACAATAATAAAAAAATTAAATCTAAGTGT